GATGACTAATAAATAGTAGTAAGTATATTCCACCGAAAAAAGATACATATCCGGTATACCTTCCATCTACCAAATATACCTGCATTTCACAAAAACAAAAATTAAAAAAAAAAATTGAAACTATGTTAAACGAGTTTGATAATGGCGAAAGTATGGATGTGAGAGAGTGAAGAAACTAAAAATGCCAATGAAAGTATGGATGTGGGAAAAATAAATAAGGAAAATCGCTTACTTACCGAGTTTGATAATGGCGAAAGTTTAGACTATGTTAAACGAGAGCTGGAGTGGAGGGCGACAGTGCGAGTCCCAGTGCCAGGGTTTTTTATGTACTTCGTTTTTCATCCAATTGAATAAACGCTCATGTTTAGTAGTTTCGTAGAGTTAGTACGGGTGCGTGTTCCTTTTTTTTCTTTTCTTTAATTAAAGGACTTGAATTGTTTGTTATAACTTTTAAGAAAAACGCTACATGTACATAATAAATGTACATAGAGGTGTACATAACACTCACATTAAGTGGGGTCCACTTAATTTTTTACTTTTTGTGGGTTCCACTAAATATGAGTGTTATGTACACCTTTATGTATAAGATTATGTACATATAGCATTTCCCAATTTTTAATAAGGATATCCATCCATTAACCAAATTATGGACAAGAAAATTGCAATATGGGAAGCAGTGATTTTTATTTAAAACTTTTTTAATGGAGCCAAAAAACTTAACTGAAACTAGATTAATTTGAGTACCTTTTTAAAATTAAAAACCACTAAATGATTTTCTTATTAAGTATTTTTTTTTTCAAAACGATAGAGATTCTTCTTATTAAGTATTTTTTTTTCAAAACGATATAGATTCTATTAAACCCAATAGAATAATGTTCGGATACAACTGAAAACAACTCAGAATGGCCTAAAACCAGAAAACTGAGAGGACACACACTATGGCGGCCTAGAACATCACAAGCCAACTAAAATAGACAAACAACTACAAATAACCTTCTACTGCAACCTTGTTGCCTAGACAGCCAAACTAACTGTACGAAATCAGCAGCATATATGGTGGTCTCCTTCATTTCATATGTGTGTGTGTGTGTGTTTCTTATAGGCAATTCGTAAATAATCGGCTTCCATGTTAAAAGTCGTGACACGTTTCTATTAGTGGTTTTTGTTCTTTTGTTCTCGTTTGGTTTTAATTGCAACAACATCGTTTTGGCATGTTTAATTACGACGTCGTTTGGACTTGAGATATAAATGCACCTGCATGTACGGTTTCCAAATTCATTGCAATCAAATAAAATTTGTTTCATTTTGAGCTTGCGATTCTTCATGGTATCAGAGCAAGTGACGGTCCTGCAAATTCTGAGTTTCCCGTCAATGGCGAACAATCGAAACAGTGATGCTTGGCCACTGCTCAACGCAGGAGCTGGAGGCAACTCAGAGGTGCGTGAAGATCATCCTTTCTACCTCAGTGGATCCGACAATCCAGGTATGCAGCTCATATCGCATCATCTAGATGGTACAAATTTTTTGGCGTGGAAGCGTTCAATGATGATTGCGCTTGGTGCTAAAACAAAGTTAGGGCTCATAAATGGTTCTATTGAAATTCCTAAAGTGAATGATGCGAATTATGAGAAATGGCGAAAAGCGGATTGGACAGATATTTCCTGGATTTTGAACTCACTGACAAAGGAGATAGGCAATTCCTTCATGTATGCTGAATCGGCAAAGGAGTTGTGGGAGGAAATCGGTCAGAGGTTTGGGGAAAGCAACGGTCCACTCATTTACCAATTGCAGAGGGATATTGCTTAGTCTTAAGCAAAGAAATGAGCCAGTTATGGTCTATTTCAATAAGCTTAAGAGAATGTGGGATGAGCTGAGCCATTTGGTACCTCAACTGACCTGCAAATGTGAGATTGGAAAGGCAATTTTGGAACAGCAGATGCAAAGTAAGATGATGCAGTTTCTAATGGGATTAAATGAAAGCTTTGATCATGTCAAAAATCAAATGCTACTAATGGATCCCTTGCCTACAGTGAATAAGGCATACTCCATGGTTTTATCTTTCTGCAGAGATTTGTGCAATCCACATCAGGTGATCTTAGCTCAAGTGTGGCAATGGCAGTGAGATACAATGGAGGAAACAAGGATAACAGTTTTAGAACTCAAGTTTATAACCGGAAAACATGCAGAGAAGGGTAGAGACTTACAAAGGAAGAGAAGGCCCAGCTGGTTTGTGACCATTGTGGGAAAAATGGTCATGATAAGAGTATTTGTTTCAAACTGCATGGGTTTCCAGAATGGGTAAAGGAGAACAAGGACAAAAGGTACAAGGGTACAGTAAATATAATACAAATTGAGAATACCTCTAAGTCACAAGGTGCAAGTACTAATTCCACGGGAGACATTTCAGCTTTGGCACAGGAAGTAGCAAAATTGCTGGGAAGATATCCAACCAATAAGAGGAGGAACAATATGTAAATTTTGCAGCAAATGTGGATGAAAGAGAAAGGCACTATGCTTTGTCAATGTTTGATGAGCTAAGTGTAAATGCTTGGGTAATAGATACTAGGGCAAGTAGACACATGTGCATAAATCAGGATTTAATGAGAAATGTGACTCACTTGCAAGCAACAATTGCAGTATACATGCCAGATGGGACAGTCAAAATGGTTACACAGGCTGGAGAAGTGCAAATTACACATGATCTTACCCTATATGAAGTTCTCTTTGTACCACCATTCAAATACAACCTTCTATCAGTCACTCAGGTTTGCATTACATCTCATCTGAGATGTAGCTTCACTTCAAGAGGCTGCTATTTTGAAAGAGAAAAATATGGAGAGATCATAGCAACAGGAAGTCTGAAGGAGAAAATATATATCCTAAATGATTACTATGAGGATAAAAATGTAAGTTTGAGCTGCAAGGCAAGGCTTCACTGATGGATTGGCATAAGGTACTTGCTTATGCATCTTATGGAGTGATGAAGCAGCTACCATTCCTTAAGGATGAGTGCAATACAGAAGGAGAAATAAATCTCAAAAGATGTGATGTTTGTTTTAAGTCCAAACAACATAGTTGCCATTTCCAAACAGCAGCATCAAAACAACATAATGTTTTACCCTATTACATGTGGACATTTGGGGACCCTGCAAAGAGGATTCAGTCCTTAGTACACCCTACTTCCTCACAGTGGTGGATGACTACAGCAAAAGCATTTGGGTGTTTCTCATGGGATCAAAGGGAGAGACGCCAATTCTGTTGAAAAGGTTCATAACAATAATCAAAACTCAATTTGGAAAACCTGTCAAACAAATTAGAAGTGACAATGGCAAGAGTTTTTAAGTAATGAGTGCCAAAGGATGTTTGATGAACTTGGAATTATACATCAAAGGAGCTGTGTGTACACACCACAGCAAAATGGTGTAGTGGAAAGGAGGCATAAGCAGATACTTGAGGTTGCTAGAGGATTAATGTTCCAGTCAAATATGGACATCAAATACTGGCCATATGCAATCCTGACAGCAGTCCACATCATAAACAGATTACCTAGTGTGGTTCTGAATTGGGAAACACCTTTTGAGAGAGTTTATAGTGAATCACCAGACTACACCAGATTAAAGCCATTTGGTTGCTTGGTGCATGCAGTTAATACTAATCGTAACAGAGGGAAGTTGGGACCAAGGTCTCACAAATGTGCTTTTCTTGGTTATGCTAGAGGATGCAAGGGATATATCTTGATGGACATTGAGGATGGCAAGAGGTTTATATCTAGGGATGTGGTAGATGTGGTGTTTGTACCTGATGTCTTCCCTTATAAAAGGTCACACAGTGACAATCATGCCAATATGCCATTAGTCAATGAGGCAAATGACATTGACAGTGATAAGGAATCAACTCAAGAAGAGGACACTCCAGAACAAATCCCACAAATACAAGGAGAGAAAAGAATAAGAAAACAACCGATGAAGGACTACATATGTGGGAGTGCTCACACAAGCAACTTACATGATAATGATGATGAGGGAGCATTCTGGCTGATATAGCAAAGGAACAGGAACCTACACACTTTGAGCAGGTTAGACAAGACAAACAATGGGTGCAAGCTATGAACCTTGAACTCAAGGCCTTAGAAGATAATCACACATGGGAGTTATCATATTTACCACCAGGAAAGAAAGCCATAGGGTCAAAGTGGGTGTACAAAATCAAAAGGAAGGCAGATGGGATAGTGGAGAGATATAAGGCTAGTGGCCAAGAGTTTTACTCAAGTGGCATATGTGGATTACTTTGATGTCTTCTCTCCAGTTGCTAAGTTGGTCACAGTGAGAATGTTCATGGCCTTGGCAGCCATCAAAGGGTGGACTATATGGCAACTTGATGCATAGAGGTAGAAGACTAACCTAAAGCAGCATCATTGTCACCCAAAATTGTTCCCAGGAGTTTGGGGACTGTAAAGTGATCCTTGTGCCTTTATTTTCTGAGAGGAAAAATAAAAAATAAAATTCAATGCCACAGTAAAATGTCTTGATGACTATGAAAATGTCAAAAATAAATAAAATGACATACGGACAAGACAGAGTAACATTCTTCTATCAAGTTGACATCTTCTATTTTTTGAACTGTGCTGAAAATTGGGACCATGACATGTGATATCACAAGTAATGCGAACCGCATAGTTAACGCATAATTCTTAATGTATGCGATTGCTCACATATGCTTCGCATAACACGCATATTGTTCTCTGAACACGTCTACTTTTTTTAGTTTTCCATATAACTATACGATATATCACATAGTGTTCGCAGTTCTGCGAATTACTATGCGATTTATTGCACTTTGTTCATAGAAATAGTTAATTTTTATTTATTTTTGTCATTCTGACCTATGTTGATACCGTTGACCGAGCCCAACAGATCGAGTCTAGTCACAACATGGAGCGCCAGTCATTCAGACAACAGCCATTCTGTCTTTCAGACAGGCGAAAGTGTAAGTAAGAGGAAGGCAGACCGCTACCGAGACCAGCAGAGGAAAAAGAGAGGAGGAGGAGGCCAGCGAGATCAAAGACCTCCCCTCAGGCCGTGCAGCCCGTTCAGCGGGTAGCAGACATACGTCAAGCTTGCGACACTTGTGGCCGGACCCACAGAGGAGTATGTTTAGCAGGCCAATGTGTCCACTACAAGTGTTACCAATTTGGACATTTCGCTTTCTGGCACGATGGTGAAAGATCTGAACGTGAACATCGGAGGAAGAGACCTGGTGGCCGATACGTCAATCCTCGGAAAACTGCTTCTGTCGCGGCTGCCTGCTCTTAGTCGTGTGCTCGCCCCCTCCTTGGTCGTCGGAAAAACAAGTTTCAGCCGTGACTAGAGGGGCCTGCTCTCATTGTTCGAGACCCGATCTATTGCTCTTGCCGAGAATCTCATCGTCGAGCATGGTTTCAGCCGCGAAATTGGCTCTTAGTCTGAGAAATCCTCCGCCGCACCTAGTCGATGAAGGTCGGTGGTTTCTCGCTCGATACTCCTTGGTCTTGCCGGGATTTTCGCTTCTCGGGCTGGAGGGATTTTGCTCGGCTGAGAGGACTTTTGAGGTGGAAAAATAAGGGTGGCTGAGGACTCTTGCTGCTTAAATATGGAATACGCTAGGGCTTACGGTGGTTGCAATTGAGTTGGGGAGAGGGAGTGGTCATCCGAGAATAAGGGAAGGTTGTTGGCTAGGGCTACCTGTGGCGGCTAGACGATGAAACCGATAAGAAGTTGTGCTGCTTGGGACGAGCGGGAGACTGCTGCTTGCTCCGATTAAAAGTGGGATTTGGAGTTAAATGAGCCGAGTGATGGGCTTAGGTGATAGGAATTTTAGTTTGGGCCGATATAATCTTAGGCTTTCTCAGAGTTCAAAAAACCAATTTTCCTAAGTTCAAAAATACGCACAAAATTAAATTGGGCACTTAGGAAAAATAAATTGGACATTTAGCACAAAAACGACTGGCAATTCAAATTAAACAATTATCACATATAGACACAAAATACAGGAGAAATTGATAAAACAAGAACACAAAAAAGAACTCATCCACTTAAATCTCGATTTTTTATTAGGTCAAAGTAATAGGACAATTAAATAGACGAGGACATCTACTTAATTTTTATTCTCGAGTTAAACGAACTTCGAAAATTAAAATCTAGTCGAGCTATTAATGAAATTCACATGAACATGATATGCTTCTAATAAATAAACGGTGCGTAACACAGATTGGCAGGTTCGAGTCAGTTCAAAATTAGATTTTTACAAGCATAAGAAATTATTCGAGAACTTCAGACGAGCCTAGAAAAGTCGAAAGAGAGTTAAAAGAGTTTTATTTCTTTGTTTGTTTGCCTTAATTGTTCTTGTTTGCCTTAAGTGCTTTCCTTAATTGTGTGGCTTAATCAACTGGTTAATCAAAGCCCTTAATAATTAAATTGTAGATTAAGAGGAGTCGATCCCTCACGAAGAATCACGTGCATTTCATTTCATCATCAACAACAGTTAAGGTGGGGTGTCTATGCGACATTTTATTCTTTATAAACACTAGGTATTATGTTTTATGTGTGTAATGTGTACATTCCGCCTGTGGGCGATGGCCTGTGAAGGGCAGTTATATTCCTCCTGTGAGGGGCGAAGGAAGGGCAGTTATATTCCGCGTGCGAAGGCTTGTGAAGGGCAGTAAGTTATATTCCGCCTGTGAAGGGCAGTGAGACATTTTGCGCTTGCAAAGAGCAACCAGATGAGACTATTTCACATATTTCATGATTAAAAGACGATATATGTTTTTATTCTGAATAATCATATAGTATGGATCCCCCGGTGAGTGTAATGCCCCATTTGATTATGGAATATCTGAGAATTATTTATCATTATTATTATTATTATTATTATTGAATGTCTAATATTATTTATTTGTTAAATTGCGATTAAATGCCTAAATGTCTAAATATTATTATTTGATAAATTGTAATTGATCTCATAAATGTGTATTTGTATTATTATTAATATTATTATTTTTAAATTAATTTGTGTGTATTATAAATGTATAATTAAAACCCAGTTTATAAATTTAAATTGTTGAGCCCGAGTAAAACCGAAATCCCGAACCATTTGAGGAATCGGCCCGAGAGCCAGCCCAAATTCTTGGAAAACCGCCTCACTCCCATGAGCCGACCCGTATTTTTTTTTCCTTTGACCCGAACCGCCCAAGAGTGTGTGTGTGTGTGTCTTGATTGGCAAGACAAAAACCCTAAGGCTTATACCCATATCTCGCTTGATCGATCAGAGGACATCAAACCTGCAGTCTAATCTCTTTTCTTTTCTCTCACAATCCGCTGCTCCCCCTCTCTCCCGTTATCTTCTGCGCGTGACCCGAAGAGAAGCAATCTCATCGTTCCCAATGTTAACCCTCACCTTCATCATCAAAACTCGATCACCTCATCACCATATTCATCTCCAGTCGCCATCACCACCATCTCTCTCGCACCGCCATGAACCCCTTTCTCAGTCGCGCAGCCCCATTCACGATCAGCAAGCCGCGAGCCGTCATCTCCCTCCTCTTGCGAAGAACCAGACCCAGGCCCGTTTTCCGGCAACCAGCGAGTCACCGGCGTTCAGACCTCCAAGTGCACAACCGCTGCCCCACGTTGCTGTCCCGAGGCCCGTGTCCGCGAGCAAGCGATCCCTGCAGACGCGCGAGCCACGCCTTGCTGCCGAGTGCGTGCACCTTAGTCCGTTTCGGTCCCGGTTCGACCCTTTCGCGTGACCTCGTCCCGAGAACGGTACCCTGGCTGACCCTCCCTATATTTAATATATACATATATGTGATATTATGTGATTTTAGTGATGTCTTAGAATATATTGCATAATTGGAGCTTAGTATAAATTGTTAAATGAGGAATCTTGAAGCTTCATGTGAGATCATTCAAGATCATGATAGTCATGTTAGGACTGTGGAAAATGGAACCTTGTTGAGTATTGAGTCCTTTATGATTTTTCGAAACCTAACTAGCTGCTGAATATTTGATAAATTCATAATAAATTTTATATTGATCCGATCGATGTGAAATTTTGGGTGAAGATTCCTGTGTTGATTATGCAGATCTTGTAAACATTTCATAATTTTATGTGGTTTGTAGCTATTTTAATTAATTAAAATGATTTTTGGTCAGATTCATGTTAAATGCATAATAAATTGTGTAGTACTCCAAATTGGCTGAAATTCGAGTTGGTTGTGTCTCTGGCATGTTTAGATGTTGTGTAAGATTTTCATAAATTTTGGACTCTGTTAGCTTAGGTAAATAAATTATTTTGTGTTTCTGCCGAAAATTGTTTTAATTATGATAAATTGATCAGTTGTTAAAATATTCTGATTTTTGTTGAAGTGTTTGTTTTGTGGTTTATTTCATGCTGTTAAAATATTGAAATTGTTAGAGTTCATTTAGGTTCAGTTCCCGTTGAAAATTCGAAATCTGCTGAATGTTGTGACAATTTTATTAAATCGCATATTAGGTGTTTAAAGCTGAGATGTTTACGCACTGTTATTCACATGCTGAGGTTCCTTGGATAAAAGTTTCAGAGTTTGAATCATTCATTTGGTCTGGTTGTTAATTTATGCTCGTTTTTGCCTTAAACTTGTCTGAATTTTATAAAATAGCATACTTGGAGTTTAGGGCTGAAACTTGGTGGTTGTTCTAAGTTCTGGGAGGTAAAGTTTTGGTTAATATTTTAGAGGCTAACTCATTTGATAACCTGACCAACTTGTTTTTGTGATTAAAAACTAGTATTTTTAAATATATGGTTTTTTTGAATTGGAAACTGTAAATCGGCTCGCCTTCTGTTCCTTTGAGTGTTTGACTTGGTCAATCTTTGTTTTGGATTATGTGAACTGCCATGTGTATTTGGTTGAGTCCTAGTGTCGAGTCTAAGTGTTCCAACGTCCACAGGACTTCACGAACAACTTAGTCGAATCAAGTTCGACTAAGTATGATTGTGTTTTCCTTTTAGGTCAAGATAGATGTTGATTGTAGCATCTTGACTTAATGTAGGTGTTTGAGGAGTCAAGCCTCGACCTACGTCCTTTCTGATTTTGCTATCATCAATCCGAACTACCAGGTGGGTTTTATCTGAAAATTTTCTATGCTGTAAATGTTATAAATGTATAATTTGTGGTATGATCAATGTATGCATGTGAACTATGTAGCCTTCGAGCTATACCGGCCGTCGAACGGTTATCCCCGTAGCTATAGAACGTACCCGTAGGGTAGTCTCCTTTTATGAGCCGTAAGACCAGGTCTTAGGTCCCTCGGCTGGAGATCCTCGTTTGTAAGACCAAGGCGAGGCCTTGGCCGACGGGTTTGTTTTACTCCTACTGGCTGGACACTCATTGTAAGACCAGAAGGCTAGAGCCATGGCTTTCGATATATAGTCGGCAGTAGTCTATGTGTAGGTGTGCACATGAGTCTTATTATTGATATTATTGACGGGAGATTGGGATAATTAATTGATTCGTATACATGCTGCGACCATACCTGACTTATTTATGATTACTGTCTATATATTGATTAATGTTTACTGCATAGTGGTGAGCACTACTTTTCACATGTGCTCATCCCCACCTGAAATTAACGTTTCAAGTTAAGCGAGGCAGGTACAACGGCGGAGCAGAGCGAGTGGTGGTCGGTCTATGAGACCGGTGTTATTATTTGTTTTGCTTCCGCGTCATGAACTGATTTTATGATTGATGAACTTGGAATATTATTGCAATTATGGTTTTCGGATTTTTATGATTTGAATAATGTTAAGGAGATGCTCCTTAGATTCTATGATTATTGTTGGAACCCGGTTTGGATGAATGTTGAACTTTTGAAAACCCGTTTTGGGAGTTGAAGATATATTGATGATTGATGTCGAAAACGGCTGTTGATGACTGACTTGATTTCTTATGATTAATTAAAGACTGATTATCTTATCTCGTTAATAGCCCTTTGGAGTTATTGTTTAAACAGCCAAACTTGGCTCAAGTCGGTACAGCTGAATAAGTACCGACTTCTAGACAGCTTAAAAGAACCGACTTCACCAACATTGCAAGATATTTATATTGAAGGTTATCCGTTTATCCGAGATCCGGGAAGATCGAATTCCCAAGCAGGAGATGTTGTACACTTTCAATTGGACCATCAAGTCAAAGAATAATCATTGATGTCCTCTCATTACATAACACGCCACTTTAATGAAGCAGCCCAACATTAAATGCGATCTGATCAACCTCAGACAAGAAGACAAAACAAACCGTACTATAAATAACAGAATTTATGGCTGTACGAGGATCTTTTTGCGCACATTGTACACGGACTTAAAAACATCTCGGTTATGAATCTAAAACCAATTTTCTGTACTCTCGTGATACGATCAATAATACGCAAATTTATGCTTATTTTGCTTCAAACACACCTTGCTGTTTGTTTATTTGAGTTGTTAATTTCATACCACAACAGTTTGGCGCTTGAGGAAGGGTCGCCTCATAAGAAATTTGAGGTTAATCTTCGATCAACTGAACGAGAAATAATACGTGTTTGCCAG